TTTTACTTTTCTTTGGTATATAAAAGCGCTGAACGCACAACTCTGTATCTCAAGAATTTTGAATATAACGCATATATCATATAGCATTATTTCATTTACATTATAACAAAAATTATGTTTGTAATTCTATCAATTTTCTCAGCTTCTCTCTGATGAAATTATTTGTGCATGCTGCTATAAGGACAGCACGATCTCATGACGGGCCTGTGTATCTGTATAGATTTGCTGTTGACGCCAAAAATAATGTTTTTAAGGCTGTTATGTGCGGAAATGTTCCAGGTTAGTATTGAAAGTAACTTTTTATTTTTTCTGTTTTCTGAACTCCAATATTAAATTTGTTATAAAATTTATAGTTTCAAATCGTAATTTTAAAACCATATTTTAAACTAGTACAAAAAAAACAGTTAATTATGCATAGGCTTGACCAATGCATTCTTATTTCAATATTATTCGAAAGGTTTTTGAATTTTTGAAATCAGTTCAGGATTTTTTACGAACGAATACTGACGAAAAAATGTTCGTTAATCTGATTATAACTCTATACGAGGCTTGCACCAAATATTCGGCCGAATACAGAATATAAACTAACTATTCGGCCGAATACTGAATAGTTAAAATCAAAGGCGACGCCGCCGCTCATTGTTGGTGTTTTATCTTTTAAGCGATAAAGAGTTCGCGATGGATCTGTCTTTGGAAGTGTTTAGTTTTTACATAATATGATATGAAGAAATGATTTTGTTATTGTATATATAATAATTTAAACTTTATCGACTTCTGAGATTACAAATGAATACAAAGAACTTTTTTCTGAATATTCACAAGTTACTTTATTTATTTATTATTTATTATTATTTAATTTTTATTATTATTATTTTTATTTATATGAATCATTTAATGGTTAAACACATGTATTGTATCAATACAGTAAAGTCATTCATTATACTCAATATAAGCATTTCCAAATAAAGAGCTATTATTGGCTTTCTAAAAATATAAAATATTTTTGATCATTTTTTATATATTTTATTGCGATTAGCATTCCTAATATATAAAAAAAAAATATTGAGTTTGAGTAAAGAAAAATATTAAATGTTTAAGAAATACATTTACATATATGTAAAGAATCGCTTTATTCATGATTTTACCATTTATTTTCCTTTTATTTCGGTATTCGGCCGAATAGTATAAATGATGACAATAATTCTAAATGACAAAGAGTAACCGTATAGTAGTTGCAAATTTAGGCAAAAACTTAAATAAACATGTAGCATTTTAGTAATATAACAACTACTGAATAGTAATTACATTCATACAGGCGCCAAAAACCTGCCGAATAGTTGCCGAATATTCGGTATTCGGTCTCTGGAGCATGCCGAATATTCGGTATTCGGCATTTTGCCGAATATACTATTCGTTGCAAGCCTGCTCAATACTAAACAGCTGTTTACTCTAGAGTACAAAATTAATTTTAAATTGATTGAGATATGATCGGGTTCAAGGCACTTTTTTATAATCAAAAGTTAAATTGAAAACCAACATCAATTCAGCTAGCGATTTCTTAAAAAGTACTGAATCATACAAGTGATGTTTGGAGGGGGGAGGTAATTTTTAAAATCACCACGTATAACCGAGAGGGAGGGGGGGTGTAAAAATCTTTAAAAGCCTATCACGCCCCCTTGTGAGAAGTGTTCAAATAAAAAGCATTAATCAAAGTTTATAAAAATGAAATGTGCGCTAAACATATACGCGTATATATTTACATGTTTATTTTAAATAATTTATAGGTACATGCCATGCGGACGATGTACAATATTTGTTTAAACCAAAGCATGCTAAATGTTATGAAAGTGGTACAGTCGAACGGAATACTTCTGAATTTCTTGCTTCTGCTTGGACAACTTTTGCATTATTGGGTCGACCATATGACTCAGAATTGCAAACTGCACATTGGCCTCTGTACAGTGAAAACGAAGCTTATGTAGATATTACAAATAATTCAGTGGACATAAAATATATGTTACAAAAGATGATATTAATTTTTGGGATGATTTATATTCACGATCGAATAAAATTACGTCACGTTAAGAAGAGCCTTAGTTATTATTGATTCAATATATTATCTTTTTACATCAATAGTTGTTTCAAATAAAAATTATCTAAATTTTAATTATCAAATCTGCCTTTTCAGCAATCAAAATCGAACTAGTTATTATGACAGACTTTGATTTAACCATTAAAATTCAGTTGAAATGCAGTTTATAATAGTAAATTAACAAGAAACATTTTGCAAATGTCAATTTTCCGAACATTGGACCATTATATGAATCGGATCCACATATAAAAAAAATTTAGTTGCTTCATAAAAGTGTAACGTGTGATGCAAAACTAGTGAAACAAGTATATAATGGCGACCACTGTAACTGAGAAAGCCAAGGATTTCCATGAACCAGGATTTTTACAGATGAAAGTAAAAAGGTTAGATAATTTTAACAAAAACAAAATTTCTGATTTATTTTTCAGTATATATAAATATAATAATATTTATAATATAAATAAAGCATGCAAAATTGAATGATTTGCACACATGCCTTCAGTTATTAAATAACATATATTAACAATTTAATCACTATGATTAGCTTAAAATATTTATAGTAAATATACAACAATGTAAGCAATTAAAATCAATCATCAATGCCATTTGAAGAAATTGGCTCTGATAAATACTTATCTCGTTCTGATCTCATAATTCCATTTTCATAACTCAAAATTTCATTTTCATCTTGTAATCTTTTTATTTCCTTTTTCAATTGCATTGTATCTGTAGTTATCGATCCACTATCAAGTTTATTCATAAGTTCTATATGTTGCGTGCAAAGTAACATGTGCAAACGTAACATGCTAGATTTGTGCATTTCTATCATTTGCATCATATGTTTTTTTCATATCTTCAACCTCATTTTTTAAAACCAAATAATCAGCATTGTTTACTTCACAATTTAAATATTCTTTAGCTTCTTCTTTTTTCAGTTCTTCTGGAATTGGTGTAGATTTAAATATTTCATTTCTAGAAGCTGTTTCATAATTTATTGAAGGTAGTGGTGATAGATATTCATTAGAGTTAATATTGGGCGATTTAAGGTTTCGGCATTCCTTTGGTGTCAAATTTTTTAACAACAAATCTGGTTCACTTACTTTGGGACTAGTTAGGTCATTCATAAAAGTATCAATTTCACATTTGGCTGGAGTTTGTAAAATGTTCGGAGATACATAAGTATTTTCTTTCATATCATCCAAAAGATTGAGAAAACTATCATCTTGTTGTTCATCAGATGTACTGACTTTTTCAATGCTTATATTGTCCGATGACAAATTTTGTTCTATGCTAGTTTCATGGCCTTTTTCTTTATTATTATCTCTTACAGCATGTTGAAATGCTACTGATGATACGACTCCAGTATGCTCTGATAAATTCAGTAAAGGTTCTTTATTATTCCGTAAATCATAAATCAATATTCCTCCTTTCCTATGACCACACATCATCATTATTCCATCACTTGACATGTCAACCGATGTTAAAGCATATGGTGACTCACGATTGCAAACAGATTGCTTGGTCCGTAAATCACACATACAAATTAAATGATCATAGCCAACAGAAACAAAAAAATTGTATTAATGGGTGATAAAGCAATGCCAGATGCAATAGATGAATGATTTTTGGCAATAAATAAATGATTTTTACGCTTTACTACGTCCCAGATGGCTACAAAACCATGATCATTTGTTGCACCCAAACATTCCATGTTCTCTACTACTATATTTTAGTGATGTTATAGGCCTAAAAATAAAAACAAATATTCAATATCAAATTAAATACGAGAAGAAATTAAAAATGATATATATTTGTGCTTGATATGATAGGATATGAAATAGCATATTATAAACGTATTAAATGTATATATACCAGCTTGTTGAGTTTATGGTTAGAGACTGCATCCTCTTGTTGGTTGTTAACCCATATAAATTAATATGACCATCTTCACAACCAACACTCATATAATTGTCATTGAATGAAATATCAATACAATTGACATTGGCGTGAGTTGAAACCATTGTTTTGCTGACCTCTTGCTTTTTTGTATCCCATATTTGCACATCGCCATTACCGAAGCCCATGCCTATAAATCTGTGAGTATTTTTGAAAAACACGGCAGATTTTACTCCATGAATTTTGATACTTTGTAAAACCTTGGCTTCTGAGAAATATGGTCTCACAATTTCACAACATCCTGTGGAAGGAACCACTAGCAAATATTTGGAGTCATAACTCCAATCAATAGAATGAACGGGTTCTGTGAAACTTCCATATTCACATAGAGGTTTATAATTGCTGGTATCATAAAATACTATATTATGGCCACCCGATGCCATTGTATCTCTGCTATCCTAGAGATTAATAGTATTATTAAAATAATGATAACATCTAAGCAAATAACACTTTTTACCATGTTTAATTATAATTATTAACTATATCATAACAAGAGAAATTTACTTACAGTGAACACTTGTGCTCTTGCTCTTATATTGTTAGTGTGTGTATGAAGTTTTTGAATAATTTATATGGAAACAATAAAACTTGAATCAGCTGTGTTACATGTTACAATGATTCGATAACAATTTGTATGTTTCATTCAATTTAAATGTCAAAAAACGCATTCTTTGATTGGACAAGTAGAAGACAAACCGTTATTTTCAAGGTTCGCATAGTAAGACAAAACAATGAAGAAAGGATACCGAAGAAGTTTCATTAATTTTTATTCGAGCACTAGCGCCACTACCTTACTAGGCCATTTTGAAAAAAAATCTATGGAAGTATCCATATATATACTCTTCTTTTATCTATGGAGGTATTTTTTATTTAACTTTTGTACAACGGAAGAACTGTCAAACCGGTGTCAAATGAACAAAATACAGTATTTTGAATGGCTTCTGTGTATATAATATAATTTTAGAATATTTGGGCTAGAAAATATATAATAAGTTCGTATCTATGATAATATTGACTGGAACACTAATATAGAAATTTAGGTACAAATTGTAAGCTTACTATTAGTGTGCCATATAAATTCATTGCTCAAGAATGGCTGATGAAGAAGATCCAAAGAATATCGGTGGGAGTCTGGATATGAAAAGACTTGGTAAGCATTTTATTGCTACTGCATATTCAATACAGATAAAGACTGGAGTTACATTTATATTTTTTAAGGGAGGCAATTAAAGAAGATGATGATGGTTTGGTGGAAGGATCTATTGCAGACATCATACAGAAAGCAAAAAGGCAGCGACAGGCAGCACGAGTTGGCCATTCAAGATTGGGAATGATGAGACATTATATATTATAATTGATTGTTCAGATTCAATGAATATACAGGATCTTAAACCAACAGACTACTTTGCACATTAAAAGTATAGCTATTTTGATAGGTTTTGACTTACCAGGGAATCTTCAGGTTTACTTTTCTGGGTTTTATTATATTTAGCACATCCGTTTATATCCATCCATTTATATCCAGCACATCCGTTAGAACTTGCTACAAAAGAAAGAAAGGTTGGGGTTGGGGATTGGGCATGCCATTCATCACAGGAATTACATCACACGAGGCTCTTCTGTTATACAAGGTAATGTAAAATTCCTTGATATAATATTGCATACTAGTATACTTTTTTTTAACTTTTGTAGTTTTATATGTACGATTCCCAATGTTTAGAGACTATGAACAATCCGACGATTTTTTCAAGTCTTGGAGACTTTACGTGTCTTTTGCCACAAGAACTTAACTTGAATGTTCAAGAGGCATTAACTAAGGAATTAGCCAACGATATTAAAAACATTATTTCAGTAATTCTGAGCCGAATATTGAAAATATAGATATGTATATAAGGTAAGTAAAATTTGCCTATTATAAATATACATCATTATATAATATTATAGAGAGTTTTAATGTGGCAAGAGTTAAGACAATGGACAACATTTTAATAGCACAGCGCGCCTAGTATTATGAGCTCTCAATATTTGAATCAAATCAGTCCTTTATAAAATATAATCCACAACAAGTAACTAATTATAATTATATTATATATATTATATATATATATTATATTTACTTATTTACTTTTCTTTGGTATATAAAAGCGCTGAACGCACAACTCTGTATCTTAAGAATTTTGAATATAACGCATATATATTAGCATTATTTCATTTTACATTATAACAAAATTATGTTTGTAATTCTATCTATTATTTCTCAGCTTCTCTCTGATAAATTATTTGTGCATGCTGCTATAAGGACAGCACGATCTCATGACGGGCCTGTGTATCTGTATAGATTTGCTGTTGACGCCAAAAATAATGTTTTTAAGGCTGTTATGTGCGGAAATGTTCCAGGTTAGTATTGAAAGTAACTTTTTATTTTTTCTGTTTTCTGAACTCCAATATTAAATTTGTTATAAAATTTATAGTTTCAAATCGTAATTTTAAAACCATATTTTAAACTAGTACAAAAAAAACAGTTAATTATGCATAGGCTTGACCAATGCATTCTTATTTCAATATTATTCGAAAGGTTTTTGAATTTTTGAAATCAGTTCAGGATTTTTTACGAAAATACTGACGAAAAAATGTTCGTTAATCTGATTATAACTCTATACGAGGCTTGCACCAAATATTCGGCCGAATACAGAATATAAACTAACTATTCGGCCGAATACTGAATAGTTAAAATCAAAGGCGACGCCGCCGCTCATTGTTGGTGTTTTATCTTTTAAGCGATAAAGAGTTCGCGATGGATCTGTCTTTGGAAGTGTTTAGTTTACATAATATGATATGAAGAAATGATTTTGTTATTGTATATATAATTTTAAACTTTATCGACTTCTGAGATTACAAATGAATACGCAAAGAACTTTTTTCTGAATATTCACAAGTTACTTTATTTATTTATATTTATTATTATTTAATTTTTATTATTATTATTTTTATTTAATATGAATCATTTAATGGTTAAACACATGTATTGTATCAATACAGTAAAGTCATTCATTATACTCAATATAAGCATTTCCAAATAAAGAGCTATTATTGGCTTTCTAAAATATATAAATATTTTTGATCATTTTTTATATATTTTATTGCGATTAGCATTCCTAATATATAAAAAAAAAAATATTGAGTTTATAAAGAAAAATATTAAATGTTTAAGAAATACATTTACATATATGTAAAGAATCGCTTTATTCATGATTTTACCATTTATTTTCCTTTTATTTCGGTATTCGGCCGAATAGTATAAATGATGACAATAATTCTAAATGACAAAGAGTAACCGTATAGTAGTTGCAAATTTAGGCAAAAACTTAAATAAACATGTAGCATTTTAGTAATATAACAACTACTGAATAGTAATTACATTCATACAGGCGCCAAAAACCTGCCGAATAGTTGCCGAATATTCGGTATTCGGTCTCTGGAGCATGCCGAATATTCGGTATTCGGCATTTTGCCGAATATACTATTCGTTGCAAGCCTGCTCAATACTAAACAGCTGTTTACTCTAGAGTACAAAATTAATTTTAAATTGATTGAGATATGATCGGGTTCAAGGCACTTTTTTATAATCAAAAGTTAAATTGAAAACCAACATCAATTCAGCTAGCGATTTCTTAAAAAGTACTGAATCATACAAGTGATGTTTGGAGGGGGAGGTAATTTTTAAAATCACCACGTATAACCGAGAGGGAGGGGGGGTGTAAAAATCTTTAAAAAGCCTATCACGCCCCCTTGTGAGAAGTGTTCAAATAAAAAGCATTAATCAAAGTTTATAAAAATGAAATGTGCGCTAAACATATACGCGTATATATTTACATGTTTATTTTAAATAATTTATAGGTACATGCCATGCGGACGATGTACAATATTTGTTTAAACCAAAGCATGCTAAATGTTATGAAAGTGGTACAGTCGAACGGAATACTTCTGAATTTCTTGCTTCTGCTTGGACAACTTTTGCATTATTGGGTCGACCATATGACTCAGAATTGCAAACTGCACATTGGCCTCTGTACAGTGAAAACGAAGCATATGTAGATATTACAAATAATTCAGTGGACATAAAATATATGTTACAAAAAGATGATATTAATTTTTGGGATGATTTTATTCACGATCGAATAAAATTACGTCACGTTAAGAAGAGCCTTAGTTATTATTGATTCAATATATTATCTTTTTACATCAATAGTTGTTTCAAATAAAAATTATCTAAATTTTAATTATCAAATCTGCCTTTTCAGCAATCAAAATCGAACTAGTTATTATGACAGACTTTGATTTAACCATTAAAATTCAGTTGAAATGCAGTTTATAATAGTAAATTAACAAGAAACAACTTTTGCAAATGTCAATTTTCCGAACATTGGACCATTATATGAATCGGATCCACATATAAAAAAAATTTAGTTGCTTCATAAAAGTGTAACGTGTGATGCAAAACTAGTGAAACAAGTATATAATGGCGACCACTGTAACTGAGAAAGCCAAGGATTTCCATGAACCAGGATTTTTACAGATGAAAGTAAAAAGGTATAGATAATTTTAACAAAAACAAAATTTCTGATTTATTTTTCAGTATATATAAATATAATAATATTTATAATATAAATAAAGCATGAAAAATTTAATGATTTGCACACATGCCTTCAGTTATTAAATAACATATATTAACAATTTAATCACTATGATTAGCTTAAAATATTTATAGTAAAATACAACAATGTAAGCAATTAAAATCAATCATCAATGCCATTTGAAGAAATTGGCTCTGATAAATACTTATCTCGTTCTGATCTCATAATTCCATTTTCATAACTCAAAATTTCATTTTCATCTTGTAATCTTTTTATTTCCTTTTTCAATTGCATTGTATCTGTAGTTATCGATCCACTATCAAGTTTATTCATAAGTTCTATATGTTGCGTGCAAAGTAACATGTGCAAACGTAACATGCTAGATTTGTGCATTTCTATCATTTGCATCATATGTTTTTTCATATCTTCAACCTCATTTTTTAAAACCAAATAATCAGCATTGTTTACTTCACAATTTAAATATTCTTTAGCTTCTTCTTTTTTCAGTTCTTCTGGAATTGGTGTAGATTTAAATATTTCATTTCTAGAAGCTGTTTCATAATTTATTGAAGGTAGTGGTGATAGATATTCATTAGAGTTAATATTGGGCGATTTAAGGTTTCGGCATTCCTTTGGTGTCAAATTTTTTAACAACAAATCTGGTTCACTTACTTTGGGACTAGTTAGGTCATTCATAAAAGTATCTATTTCACATTTGGCTGGAGTTTGTAAAATGTTCGGAGATACATAAGTATTTTCTTTCATATCATCCAAAAGATTGAGAAAACTATCATCTTGTTGTTCATCAGATGTACTGACTTTTTCAATGCTTATATTGTCCGATGACAAATTTTGTTCTATGCTAGTTTCATGGCCTTTTTCTTTATTATTATCTCTTACAGCATGTTGAAATGCTACTGATGATACGACTCCAGTATGCTCTGATAAATTCAGTAAAGGTTCTTTATTATTCCGTAAATCATAAATCAATATTCCTCCTTTCCTATGACCACACATCATCATTATTCCATCACTTGACATGTCAACCGATGTTAAAGCATATGGTGACTCACGATTGCAAACAGATTGCTTGGTCCGTAAATCACACATACAAATTAAATGATCATAGCCAACAGAAACAAAAAAATTGGTATTAATGGGTGATAAAGCAATGCCAGATGCAATAGATGAATGATTTTTGGCAATAAATAAATGATTTTTACGCTTTACTACGTCCCAGATGGCTACAAAACCATGATCATTTGTTGCACCAAACATTCCATGTTCTCTACTACTATATTTTAGTGATGTTATAGGCCTAAAAATAAAAACAAATATTCAATATCAAATTAAATACGAGAAGAAATTAAAAATGATATATATTTGTGCTTGATATGATAGGATATGAAATAGCATATTATAAACGTATTAAATGTATATATACCAGCTTGTTGAGTTTATGGTTAGAGACTGCATCCTCTTGTTGGTTGTTAACCCATATAAATTAATATGACCATCTTCACAACCAACACTCATATAATTGTCATTGAATGAAATATCAATACAATTGACATTGGCGTGAGTTGAAACCATTGTTTTGCTGACCTCTTGCTTTTTTGTATCCCATATTTGCACATCGCCATTACCGAAGCCCATGCCTATAAATCTGTGAGTATTTTTGAAAAACACGGCAGATTTTACTCCATGAATTTTGATACATTGTAAAACCTTGGCTTCTGAGAAATATGGTCTCACAATTTCACAACATCCTGTGGAAGGAACCACTAGCAAATATTTGGAGTCATAACTCCAATCAATAGAATGAACGGGTTCTGTGAAACTTCCATATTCACATAGAGGTTTATAATTGCTGGTATCATAAAATACTATATTATGGCCACCCGATGCCATTGTATCTCTGCTATCCTAGAGATTAATAGTATTATTAAAATAATGATAACATCTAAAGCAAATAACACTTTTTACCATGTTTAATTATAATTATTAACTATATCATAACAAGAGAATTTACTTACAGTGAACACTTGTGCTCTTGCTCTTATATTGTTAGTGTGTGTATGAAGTTTTTGAATAATTTATATGGAAACAATAAAACTTGAATCAGCTGTGTTACATGTTACAATGATTCGATAACAATTTGTATGTTTCATTCAATTTAAATGTC